TTCTACAAAAGAATTAACGAATGATTTTGAAGTGTAGAGAACTTGATAGTAAAACTCATTAAGCACCAAAACTTACTAAATTCTGCATCATTCCAAAAATAACTAAAACGATTCAGTTTTCTAATATAGTTCCAAGTGAATGATAGTATCTGCAGTAACCAAAATTCCTGGGAATATATTTGGGCTCAAATCTCTAAGCTTAAGTATTGACAAGACAATAAAAATACTTTAAAACCATGGGTAGTTTTGGAGTTCACATCCTGTCCATGACCTTATGAAATGTCCTCATAGTCACGTTTTAGTGAAAAATGCTCACCCCAGAAAGCCAGAATGTTCACCTATGTACAGATTTGCCCTGGGTCCTGTCCCCATGGTGTCCTGGAACTTGTGGCTGACCTTTCTTCTGGTTGTTGCAGGTATGCTGCAGAAGTGTCCTTCTGTTGATGACTTTGTGGACGCCCTCGTTTCTGACTTGGATCTGGACTTTGAAACTTTCTTCATGGATTCTCAGTAATGGAAACACCTTGAATCTTTTCAACCAGCTTATACAGATATTAACTCTGTTGGAAATGCTATAGTTGTGCAAACTTGTTTCTGATTTCATTATTCACTTGGGTAATAACTTCTGGCAAACTTCAAACTGATGGAACTTGGAATAAATAATTTGTTTGAATTATATTGACTTCCTGCCTGTTTGGCAAGTTTTTGAACATATGAAAATGTACTCGGTGAACTAGTAAACACCACATGGAGTTGCTAAGAGTAGGGTATGGGCACTTCCTTAAAATGACCAAGCTACTCCAAGTGGTTCCCCTGTTTTTTTGTGTTTTTTTTTTAAGAGGGATCGAACTCGGGACCTTCCGCTTGTAAGGCAGGCGGCAGAACCACTGAGCTAAATCCCCGGCCCTGTTGATTTTTAATTGGTTAACTCAGAAACTTAGTTAAAAACAAGATCAGTTTAATTTAGGACACAATTTGAAGCAGTCTTCATAAAGATCACACAAAGAGTTCTTGTAAGAATGATTACCATTTCTTGCTGGGCAAGGTGGTACACACCTATAATCCCAGTACTATAGTCAGGAGGCTGAAGCAGGAGGATCACTGTGAGTTCCAGGTCAGACTGGGCTATGTAGTGGGTTCAAGGCCAGCCTGAACTACACAGTGAGACCCTGTCTCACAAAACCAAAGGGGGAAAAATGATTACCATTTCTTAAGACCACTTTACAGTGCTCTAAAAGTATCCATTGTCAGTACAGAAACCAAGACAGTTTCCAAAGTATTTGTATTTGTTTTGGGTTTTTTCTGAGTATTTAGGCTATATACAGATGGTATCAGAACAGAAAGGACTGAAACTTGTTTGTGCTTTTCCAGCCTGACCTCCAGGATACCATTAAAGAGACATGCCAAAGGTCAAGCAACAGATTAATAAGGAAATGAATTCAAAATTCAAACCTTGTCTGTCTTTATTCAGAGCCTCTCTCCTTATGCTGCTGAACACTGTATTACTGCATAGGTGTTAATATTGGGAAAGAAGTCATTTAATGGGATTTTCCCACCATAGAAGTTAAGTTAATTACAGCTTTTCAGTCTAGCAGCCTGAAATGCTTTTCACTAAATGACCAGCGACTGAGCAGAAAGATTTGAAAATCTCCCAAACTAAGACACATTCAACCTAGATATAGAATATTAACAATTTCTACAAGCTTGTAAACAGATGGGACCAGAGGGAGAGCTATCATCATGGAGCCACCTGTTCGGGTTCCCATGGATGCAGGGCAGCCCGGCCCTCCTGCCCTCACTGGACAGGAAGGCAGATCGGCTGGTGCACTAGAGAGGGGGCCTCTGAGCTCACCAGAGTGCTGTGGTCTGGCCTCTTCCTGCTCTTCCCCCTGGCAGTTTCGCTCCAGGTGGATACCTGCAGACCACTCACAGAAATACCCAGCAGGAAGAAGCAGGCAGGGTTGGGGTGCTGCTGGCAACAGGAAGAGCCTTAACCCAGTGCCTGGGGAGGGATCAAGCTGCTCTTGTGTCCCCACTGCCCCTTCTCAGTGTCCGGTGAAGGATGTCACCCTCATAGAAGTGCAAGAACAGCTCACCTCCATCCTGGGAGACGGACTTGGAGAAACCCACCTGCCACTGAGCTGCAGGTCGGTCTGGAAAGGCGCTTCACCTGACTCCCAGGCACCCCAACAGTGACAAACCCTGTGTCTTCAGCAACCTATCTTCAGCTGAGTAAGCAAAAAAGCAAATCTGTGTGGAGCCTGTGTGCAAACATTCTCCAGAAAGAGCACGGGGAAGCATCATGGGAGGGCAGGGAAAGCCGTAACTGAAAGTTAATTTTAGGAGGAATTAGAGCACGTTGTAAAAGCACATTGTTCAGGAGAGTTAAGACAGCATGGTATTTATGAAACTGATACTCATTTTTAAAAAGCAAAAGTAAAAAGACAATAAAATATGCTGAAGACTTGGGAGATAGGGAGAATAAGAAAGAAATGCAGAGAAACAGCACAGTGATGTAAACATTTTCGGAAGCAGAAGAGAGCTGAGTTGTCAGGGATGAGTGTGAGACAGGTTAAAGGAGGTGAGGGTAAGAATGGAGTGTGGAGAGAGGAGAGGGGGCAAGGGAAGGAAGGGGAGCGGTGAACTCGATTCCACACCAGAAAGTGAAGACAGACTCTTACCTAGACACATTTACTTTTTTTGAGAGTTTAGATATAATTAAATCATAACCCAGTATATCCCAATTTCAGAACAGTCCTCAGGAACTGTTAGTGGTGATCCACAAACTCAAAAGGCCCTGTTGTTAAATGTTTGAAAGGTCACTGTGGGCATTCACAAACCTTTGGTCAGAAAACATAATTTAGCACCTCAGGCATGACCCAAGACTTCCCAAACATATTTCATTAGGGGACCCACCCCTCTTTTTAGAGTACCTCCTGATATTTTTCAGAATACTAGGAAGTAACAGCTAGAAGCATTCAGCTGGATATAACAGGCTTACTGATTCAGGCATCCCAGAATGCAATTGGTTATCTCTGTCAACACCCTAAAAAAGTTCTGAGAGGTAAAGGGCCGAGGTGCTAAATGACGTGCTCGGGTAATAAGCGAGTATAGGAAGCTTGTGAGCTTTATAGCCTTTTTTGAAAATTGCTAAGAGAACAAGTAATTTTGACCAAAAGCCAGAGAACAGGAAATCTCTATGGAACTTCTAAGAATGCAAAGAGGTCACTGCTTCCCCACAGCAACAGCTGGATAAGTCATAATAGCAAATTATTTCATTAGGAATGTTTTCCCTTCTCATGGGAATAAACCTGTAAGTGCACAACATCCTTCCTCTATTAGGGTTTACCAGCAGATTACAAAAAAATCTAAAGTGCTTACTACTGAGTAAATTCTAAAAATAATCTAGAAAAAGAACTGGAAGAAATATAATGTTAATGTAGTTGTCATTCACTTTGAGATTTTGGCCTTTTATTTTTCTCCTTCCTTTCTCTATTTCCAGTTTTTTAAATGTAAGTAATATGTTAATTTCAATGATAATTTAAAATTTACAATTTTATTAATCATGACAACCAAATGTAAAGCATTTTCCCATTTCTGAAGAAATGCTTGGCGGATGTAAGCAAATTCAGAAAAGATATCTGAGTCATTCAGCAAACAATTTTTAGAGTCAAAAACTTATACATAGCCACAATTTAGCCTGATTTGGTCAAAGCATTTGACATAAAATACTGCTAACAGCAGTGCTTGGCATTTAAGAATTTTCCCATCCATGAGATGACTGTCAGCCCTGTGTTACGAGGGAGGCAGGTGGGCTAGGCGACTGATCCAGTGTCAGAAAGCCGGTCACTGGCCTCGTCCGCTGCCCTTTCCACTTCTTATGTCTTGAGGAGCTCACGCTTTCTCCCGCAGGCTCCGAGGCCCACACTAGGACATATGCAGACTGTCAGACAGCCACATGACCCTCACAGGCCACACAAGCATCTTTCTGCTCAAGAAGACTGGTGCCCATGGACAGGTAGAAAGTAAAGTGAAATATGATGTGATGTCACACATCAGAGCAGGAGAGACAGAGAGGCTCAGGGCAGGGCTGGGATGACTGGGTGAAGGCAGGCAGAAGCCCTCTGGGAATATTCATCAGGCAGGACAGCGCTGAGGTGTGGTGGGGTAGATACGTCAGTCACAGCTTAGCTAAATCGTGGCTCAGACTTGATTTAGGAGAAATGTGTGGAACAGGGAGCTAGGCACAAGGTCTTAGTTACCAAAGACTAGTCTTCAGGTGGATGTTGCTTAGTTTGCATCATCCAGCAATTATGAGCTGTCCTCTGGGTCTGTATCTGTATCTCCTCTACAGAAATACTTTGAAGGACCCTGCCCGATCCCTTGTTGGAATGTATGTCTTGGACCACAGCACTCCCTTTGGTCCGAGGTTAGTTGTACACCCTCTGCCTTCAGATCTTTTGTCCTTGGGTAAGCCTCTGTGTGTGGGGAGTGATCACCATGAAGACTGACACTTAGGAGCGACCATACAAAAGCCAGCTCTTGCCTGGTACGCGAGGACACATCTGTAGTCCCAGGTACTAAGAAGCTGAGGTGGGAGGGTCGTTGGAGCCCATGAGTTCAGGATCAGCCTAAGCAACATAGTGAGACCCATCTCAAAAAGAAAAAAAAAAAAGATTATTGAGCATGTAATTATGAAACAGTTGTATGGTATAAAACGTGTGGTGTCACATCACTCCTACAAGGGTACCAGTTAGGGATGCTTCCGAGAGGAACTAAACTTTTTTCTTTCTTTTTCCATCTACCTATCTGTCTATCTGTCTATCTATCTATCTATCTGTCTGTCTTCTTTCCTTCTTTCTCCCCCCTTTCCCTCTCTCCCTCTTTCTCTCTTTCTTTAACCCAGGGCCTTCACACTGACCTACATCTCTAGCCATTTTAAATTTAAAAAAAATTTTTGAGACAAGGTGTTGGTAAGTTACCCAGGCTGGGCTCAAACCTTTATTCCTCCTGCTTCAGCCTCCCAGAGTGCTGAGATGTGTGCCACAAAACATGGCTCAAGCAGAATTAGTCTTAAGCAAAACCTTGAAAAAAAAAATAGGTGTGGCTTAGAGACTCAAAAGAGTGCATATCAGTTTGGTTAGGGCACCTTGGCAACACAGGAAGCTCTGACTTTCCCAGAATGCAAAAGGTGTTTTATAACACCGAATAGTAAAGGGTTCAGGAACATCAAGGTGTCTAAATTTACGGAAGATCTGGAAAACAAATACATCAACTGCATAAATGTAAAAAGTGTAAAAGGCACTTGACTGATATTTTCCCTTCCCAAATTGCAAACAGAAAGCTTGCTGTTTTTAAGGATGCAGTGTTGATGTCGACCAGCGTGCATCACCTGTGTGTTTCTTACAGGTCAAATTCAGCCCCCACAATCAAACTGATCTTTTATCCCAGATACTCCTCCTGAGTCCCTGTCATGATTAATAGCATCACAGTCTATGCCTCAGTGGAAACCCTGTAAAGAAGTGAGTTGCCCTCATCCTCGTGGTGTACTTACTTCCCTGTGGTACTTAACATGTACATTATCTATCTGTTCAGTAAGATGGAATATGTCTGTCTTATCATGGTTTCCTTTTTGCAAGGTAAGTATCAAAAACTCACCAAAAGCCTCTAGAGTAGTTTGGCATAAAGCCAGCAGAACCCAGCAAACAAGAAGAGGAGCAATCATCAAAAATATTGTGTGGTAGACTTGCCTCAGAAGGAATTGGACTTTCGGAGCCTGGTTCTCCTGGGGCCATAACAACAGCATCAGGCATAGTCATCATTAAAAAATAATCGAAAATTCTGGAAATTTTTCTAACTGCTCCTATTAAGAAGAACCTGCAGAAGAAGACCTATATGATGGTTAATTCTGTGTATCATCTGGACTGGCCCACAGGTGCCCAGATTAAATAAATGTTGTTTCTGGGGTGTCCAGCAGGGTGCTTCAGAATGTGATCAGCATTTGAATCCTTGGACTCAGGGAAGCAGATGGCTCTCCCCAGGGTAGGCTGCTTCGTCCAATCCCTGAGAGCCTGAAAAGAGCAAAGGGTGGAAGAGAGGAACTGGACCTTTTTGTTTCCCATCTGCCTGCTGAGTGAGGACATTTCTCTACCTGTACTCAGACTGAGGATGACACCATCAGCTCCCCTGATTCTCTGGCCTTTGGATTCAGACTGGAGTTCCATCACCAACTTTCCTGGCTCTCTACGGCTTGCAGACTGTGGGACTTCTCAGCCTCCATAATCACATGAGCCAATCCCTTATAATATATTGATTGATAGATAGATAGATAGATGATAGACAGATGATGATGATGATGGATAGATGCTAGATAGGTAGATAGCAGATGATAGGTAGATGGATGGATAGATGGTAGATAGTAATAGATGGATTGACAGATGATTGATGGATTGATGGATAGATAGATGGGATAGATAATCCTATGGATCCTGTTTCTCTGAAGAATCCTGACTGATACAACCCATGAAAAAAAGTGGAGTTTTGTGGGAAATTTACGTGAAAGAAGGAACTAAAGAAAGAACATGTAAACCAAGACCAAACCAGCCTCAGCCCAGCTGTATCCTTGCATTAGGATGTATACAAACCTCTTTCATCCTGTTGCTGATTTGTCTTCTGGAATATTTTCCAGGAATAGTTCAGAGAAAATATATCACCCACTGGGACGGAGCTCTCTGTGGCAGAGGCGTGGCTCATGTGCTCCTCTGGCATCAGATGTGGATGGGTGTAATACCTGGGTTCAGAGGAGGAAGCAGGACCTGCTCTGAGCATCTCAAGCAGGAAGGATTAATTCAGTGCATCAAGCGCCCTCAGAATTCCAGGAAAGGCTCGAAGAAGTCAATACTTGGTGCTCCTATCTCCAACACCACCACTGATAGTGAGTTCAAGAGTACGTTCCTACGGTGTGACACAGCAGGACACCACCAGGCCGCAGACACAGCTGCCTCTGGATAGTCTCTGCAAAGGGCACGTGGACTTGAGAAAGCTACCACCTACCACACACTGCCCCTTTCAACACACATGCATGCGCACAGACATGTGCAGCCTCGTGCACCAGTAGGAAGCAGCAAAGTGGCAGTTGGGTGCTTTCCTCTGCACTTCCCTCTGGTCTCGCCAGTGGGACTTCATTCACATACAAAACACGGGCAGGAGTTTTCAGATATCCAGACTTTTCTTCTCCTCCTTGAAGCCATTGCTCCCCAAACCCACAGAGCTTTAAATGCCCATCATGTGACATAAACATCATCATCTCCTCAGTGTTTCCAGCATCCAGCAGTGCCAGTTACACATCTGGGGAAAAGTGCTGGGCTGAACAGGCAGGGAGAGTGTTGGATCCTGCATCCAGGAGAAAGAAGGGTTTCAGATGGCTGAGTAGGGCCAGGGAGGATGTTGGGCCAGGGGCCTCTGCTGACCTTGAGGACTGTGGGAATGATGAGTAGAAAGGGAGGCCAGAGGGAAAGTAAGGAACAGAAGACAAGGAAAGGGAAGCAACAGATCTAGATTATTCCTTCAAGAAGGGTGTGATCTCATGGTCACCTGAGCCCGACCTGAGCCAGGACCGGGCCACCATGCCAGTGGCAGGGGCCACCAGGGCTGCATGACGTGTGTGCAGTGAAGTGTTACATATCCCTCCCCACCACAGTGCCTCACGCTTGCATGTGCACGCATGTTTAAGAGAGGCATTGTGATGGTTCGTACGTGTCAGCTTGACTGGACCCTGGTGCCCAGATAGGTGACCAAACTTTACTCCAGATATTTTTAAGATGTTTTAAATGAAGATCTATAAGTAAGTTGGTGGACTTGAAGTAATTTCTGAGTACATTGCCCTCAGAACGTGCAGGGGCTCCTTCCAATCAGCAGGACTCAGGGATGAACAGAACTTAGACTGTCCCCTCGCATCCTGAGCAAGAGGGACAGTTAAGCACACTGCTCTGTGGCTTCATCTGTACTGTCCACCACCCTGCTTGTCCACTGCCAGCTACCCTGATATTCTGGAATTGCCAGCCTCCATAATTCCATCTAGATCATCTGTCAGTTTAATGCACACACACACACACACACACACACACACACGCACACACGCACACCCCTCATCCTATTTCTCTAGAGAATCCTGATTAATACAGATTTGAACAAAGTAGATCTGTCTTGGGAGGGAGGCAAACAGGGAAGCCCTGCTTCCCACAGTAACCAAAGCATCCTGAAGAGAACTGGATGGGGGCTGGAGACAGACATGTTGGCCTTTAGAAATCTGAACTGCCACATGGGAAGAGTGTCATACTCGTTACCCTCAGTGATCTAAGGTGTGTAGGCTGCCTGGCTTTGACTCAGTATATGCCCTCCTCCTGGGCATGGGTGGTGCCTGCTCATGCATCCTCACTGGGTGGGAGGAATAAGGCTGTCTCTCAGCCTTCTACATAAGGGCACTTACTCTATTCATGAGAGCCCTGACCCTGGCACCTGCTCGCCTTCCAAAGGCCCCACTTCTAACACCATCACCTTGAGGATTAAGATGTCAGCACATAGACCTTAGGGGAACACAAACATTCAGACCATAACACCAGAGGATCCACCTGGTGTTGGGGGGGAGGTGGTAAAAGAAAAGAGCCCTCAGCTCACTCAGGACACTTTCGGCTGTCTATTGAGAAAATGAAGATACAGACCCAAACCCAAAGATGGTAGCTGGCAGAGCGGCCATCCTAGCCTTGCAGGACTCCAGATGCTGCAGGGGGCACCTCCTCTAATGCTCCACCTGCAGCCTCTGAGCCCATGGGCCAGCACTTCCCTGCTGCTCCTGCGTGCTTTGGATGTGAACTGTGATCGTCTCTGGCCTGTGGAGCAGCCTGCCTGGGCCATCCACAGCCACCCCGCCCCACTTCCCCCCAGTCCGGTGATCTCTATCTTTCCTGCCAACACTTCCATATTTTGTGTGACTTTTCAGAATTTGAGGGTGTTTTAAGCATGTGTAAATCATCTTATTGTAACCCTATTTTGGTTTTTTTTTGTTTTGGTGCCTCCTTAGTTTTTTTGATTAGTCTCAGCAGAAGTTATCAGTCTTATTAGTCTTTTTTTTTTTGGTACTGGGGATAGAACTCTGGACCTTCCATTTGTGGGCAGGAGGTGGAACCACTGAGCTAAATCCCTGGCCCTTGTTAGTCTTTTTGCTTTGATCCTCCCTTATCATAATCTATAATTATTATCTTTCATTATAGCATTTACTATCATTATATGTATTTTTCTGAGTTTTATTTCTTATTCCTTGAGTGGATGCCTGGCCCATTAATTTAATTTTCAGCCTTTCTTCTTTTCTAAGACATATTTAAGACTATAAACTTTTTTCTAAGGATTGCTTTAACTGCATCTCAGAAGTTTTAAAGGAACATTTCTATTAATACTATCATTCAGTTTGAATTCTAATCTAATCTAATAATGTAACGGATTACTTAGAAGTGACTATTGCATTGTAATCAAGGTACATACTGTGCATTACAGATATTTCAGGCCTTTGAAATGTATTGAGGCTTTATGGCCCTGTGAATGCATGGCCAATATTGTAAACATATTATACATGCTGAGAAAGAGTATTTTTAAATTGTTATGTGCAACTTGCATTTTATATTTTGTCTGCTGATTCTACCAACTACTTAAAGATGTGCTTTAAAAAATTTCTTGCAATAATTGTGGATTTCTCTGTTTATCTTTGTATTTTGGTTAAATTTTGCTTTATAAATTTAGAGGCCATATTGCTAGCTACAAACTTAAGATTGTGATATCTTCCTAGTAAGTTAATGTATTTAGTACTATGAGGCTATTCTAATCATTAGTTATACCTTTTACCTTAAAATCTATTTTGCCAGGTTCAGTATAGCTACATTGATTTTCCATTAATGTTTGTATATTTTTCATTCTTTTGCCATATCCTTGAATGTTAGATATAACTTTTGTACATAGTATATTGTCTGTAACTGTGACATTGTTTTAAAATATTGTACAGTAATTCATATTTTATGTTAAATACTAATGGATTTGTTTTGATTAAGCATCATACTATATGATTCAAACAAATCTTTTATTTTTATTTTGCATTGCTTAATAATTTCATTATTCCAGTGGTTACTATTTTCTCTATTACTAAAAAATAGTATAGTCTTTGTTATAATGTATGTAAATATATATAACTTTATTATTTATAGTTAATATTAAGACTCAAGCACATGAATATGCTAGAAAACATTATACATTTTAAATGAGTGAATTTTATAGTGTGTGAATTATATTTCAATTAAGCTGTTTAAAAGAAAGAGTCATTGGCAAGAGGAGCCAACGGGAAGTGTGGCCTACACCTAACACTGGCAGACACCAAGAGTTAGCAGCCTGGATTGCCAGTCAGCTGTAAGGCCCACTGCAGGGTCTCCTGAAGGGGACCCTCAACAGCACATTTCCAAGATCCCACAGAAACCATCGCTCCAGATGCACCAAAAATTTTCAGAGGACACTGTTCTACTGCAATAAAACCTTTGCCCTCACACTCATTCATTTAATAACCATTAACAATTCTGTGTGCCCTGTCACAATCCGGCCTTAAGCTAGGGGCTGGGAGAAAAAAAAAAAAGTCTCCTGATCTAAATTCCTTACAATTTTTACTACTCTTTCCTTTTTATTTTACTGATATCTGTGTGCGTGTGTGTGTGTGGGGGGGGGGGTGTTTAATGGCTCTTTACAGTTTACACTGTATTTCTTGTACATTAGTTCACCCACGTTAAGCTTACAGATTTAAATGACCTTTTCAAGACCCAAAAGCCAATAAAAAGTAATTGCCAACCTTCAAATCCAATTCTTTCCAAAACAGCTATGTTCTGTAGTTTTCAATCCCTGGCAAGTTCCTCTCACTCACACTATGACAAAGTAGGGCACCTGGGTGGCCTTGGATCGCAGTTTCGTAAGTCTGGTGGAGAATAAATACTTATTGCAGGAGAGCTACAAACAAGTCTCTGGATCGATTCTGATTGGACCAGTTTGGCCACGTGCTTAGGCCTCAGCCAATCACTGGAGCAGCAGGAGGACCCTCCCCCTCCAAGACTGGGTCATGTGAGGTCTGAGTCACATGTCCCAGAGCAGGGGCTTGCAGCCCTACCAGAAACGTGCTTTTTGAGTCAGCCTACTTCGTTAGAGAGCGTGCGCAGATGAGAACTATAGGTACCAGCAACCATATGACATGCTTTATGAAGCAGTGGCTTTGGCATACAGCGCAAGGTGAGTGCCAAGTGCTGGCTGGAATAGGTTATGCAGCAGCTCTTCTGTGGGCTAGAGACGGAGGCCTTTATCTCCGAAGAGCCGGGAAGCAGCAGAGTCGGAAGGCCACTGGGTCCTACAGGGCTCTTTACTTTCCCTGCACACTTGCTGTGCTTGTGTCAGAGCTGGGATGTGGCGCTGAGCCTTTGATGAGCCATAAACTCTCACTTGTGTAACCTTGGCATTCTGGGACAGGGACGTCCTCCTGAACTACTCCATGCCACCCCTGCAGTAAGGCAGGGGCACACGTGAACTGCCCCCAGACGTGGCCTCAGTCTCTCTGGTTTTTAACATCTGCAGAGAAACCCCTTGCCGATGATGACTTCTCTGCCTCTGAAAAGGGTTTTTTGCATCTCCAGACTTTGACCACCTTTTCCTCTGTGCTAAAGGAGAGCTGCTGACCGTTTCTGCTGTTCCTGCTCTCTCAACACTGGGAACCTTATTAAAGTGTGCTTTATCCTCATGCTGGTCCTTACCTTGGGCAAACATCCTGTGAGGATGAAATATGCAGGCAGTTGTGATCACAGACATGAGTAGGACAGGTCTCTGCCCCAAGGAGCTGGCTGTCCAGTGGGAAAGGGGATTTAAGTAAATGTGTGATGCACTCCAAGTACACAGAAAGTGGAGGCACGGTGTGTGAGGGCACAGAGGGTGTGAGAGTGTGATGTCACAAGGAACCCAGGGCTGGCACAAGGGCTTCGGGGAGGATTTCACAATGAGGGAAGAATTTATTAATTATAGATTTTCATTCTTATTTTTTTCCCCATTAAGTTTATTAGTACATTCTCGGTATAAAATACAGTTACATTCATCATTGGGATCTTGTACCTTTACATGAGTATCTTGGTTCTTATTTTTTTCACCCTTCCCTTGCCCTCCCTTCACCCCCTCCACCCCTCCCTCTTTGCAAAGACCTTGTTTCCATTTTTTTCCTCTTCTCATATTTTTTCCTTTCCCTTTTTTCCCTTCCCCTAGCCCTCCCAATTCCCCTGCTCTTTTAGACCTTTTCTTCCTGTTACACAATATCAGTTATACATTTTTTAAATTACAA